GTAACAAGAGCAGGTGGGTGTACATTATCTGGAGTGAGAAACAATTCGTTCTGGCCATCTCCAGTTTCTGTGCTGGAGTGATCTCCCTGAGTAGCAGCATATCAGCGGGCAACAGCTATTGAGTGGGTGGTGGGCATTACACAACCTGGCTTCAGAACCTACACAGGCCACTCCAAAGGCCGGGCTCATTGAGCGAGAGAAATCGCGTTGAGGCAGACTGTGCCAGATCATGTTTGAGTGAGACTGGATGAAAACAGTACCCCAGGTTTTTATGATGGCGCTCTCGGAGAGATATGATCCTGCAGAGCAAGCGGGGGTGGAGTTTACAGTCCTGTCAACATGAATCTGTGTAGAGTGTTTAGGAAGCAGCTATAAATGCTGCAAAAATACAAGAGTGGTTTAGAGCTAGGCATTAAAAGTCAGGGAATAGACAAATGTTCAACAATTCTTTTGTACAGGGGAGATAAAACAACCCAGCAGCAAAGGCCTCTGGAAAACTGTTTAGTGTCTTTCAGTTTGGTTGAAATAAATGACACTACAATTACAACTGTGCACAGCTAGGTAAATAGGGGAAGTATAGGACTTAGTATTTGTGTCATTAAGTATGGCTTAAAATAAGTTTGATATTTTATATAAGTCAAAGTGAGTTGTTTGATGTACAGTTAGTTTAAATGTTTCAGCATCTGTTATTACTTTTATTTTCTTCACATTGACAAAAGTCTAAAAGGGACAGAAAATATTTCTGCATTAAACAAAAACTTTGTTACATTAGACAATACTATATAAAAATAAAGACAAATAAAAATACCCTTTCTGAATAGTCAACATAGACATTTGAACAGAAAATATGAAGAGCGTTCACACCAATAATGTGTTTCAAATGAGAACAGCTTTCACCTAAACTAAGTAGCACCATATAAATCAACGCATCAACAAACAAACAAACACACGAACACACACAAGGTTAGTTAAATAAGTCTGTCCAGAAATGTGATTCAGTGAGGAATATAAACCTTTTCTACCCCAGTGCCACTGAACTGAAAAAGCAGATCTTACAGTAAGTCTTCCACCTGTCTTCATACTTTCTGTTAAAATACCTCCAAACTGCTGACTTTGTTAAACTGCATAAAACAGGACCTACGTGGGCGACAAGACACCAAACTGAAGGACCTGAAAAGTAGTTGCAGTGTCGCTGGATTGGCACATGTTCCTCATACTTGAGAACACGTGGGTATATATGAGTATATGACCCAATAACTTTACTGATATCTGTATTTGAATATTCCTATCATTCAGAAAAAGCCAAAAATCAAACAAACAAAAGAATAAGGTGCTAAAAAATCATCCTAACTAATCAAATAATCAAAATGATGAGATAGAAAAGTCGATGTATCTGTTATATGTAATTGAGTTATTGTAGAAAAGTGCAAAGAAGGTGCTATTTTCATGTTACTGTTGGATGTCATAAAGACATATAGTGTTGTTGTGCACATCATATTGTTTGATATTTTTCTCTTTTGTTTATTTGTTCTGCCAAGAGTATCTGAATGATGCAGACAGGAAATTAGCATAAAGAAAACATAAGCAAACAGGGAAAACAGTGAGCGTTACCCAGAACAGATGAAGTTCTTGGACCAGCAAAGACAAACAGAGGAGAAATAAACTGCTGCAGATGGTCCCCATGACAAACCCAGACACCACTCAACTATAGCATTCATTAAATCGAAACAAATTGGCTTTGCATTTTTTAAATTAAATCTACAGAAAATGTGCCATGTTCTATTATTGGGAATTGTTAGTAAACTACTCACCTGTTTATTACCTGTACTATTAAATTATGATTAAAGGGCAGTCATGCATTTCACAAACATAGGACATAGTTACCAAAAATTAGCTCATCTAATTTACAAAACAGAAAATAAACAACAGCTAGGGGAAAAGTAATCGTTAAAAGTTTTCTCCTTCCACTGTGGAGTTACCACAACACAAAATAAGTTCACTTCTTTAACAGGGCCAAGAACCTGTACTGTAAACAAACACAGGAGCAGTGTAAAAAAGCTGGCTGTTGCCTGGTGATGTGGCTATAGGAGCTCTACTAGGTGACTTGTGTGAAGGCCACAGGAGCAGCTTGCACTCAGGGGCCTAAGCCAACTCTGTTCTTTAGCCAGCACCCCCCCCCCCCTACCAAAAACCCCACCTGCCATCTGGCCCAACCAGGAAGTGGACTGTGAGCAGCAGAGAGAAATAGACGTAGCTACAAAGTCATGGTGCTTTGCATCGTTGATAAATATTTACATACTGATTTGCTGACCGTGTGTTGAGTTGGAAAAGGAGGTGTGTTAACGGGGAGAGGGATATAGAGATAGAAAGGGAGAGGGAGAGAGACAGGGAGAGAGGGAGTGTCCCTGAGCTTGACACAGTAAGATAAAATGCAGCACATGGCAGACAGAGGGGAGAGGAGTTTTGAGGGAAACAAAGAAATGTTTACAGAGAACAGTGTGTCACACAGAACCCTCAACAGAGAAAACCTTTATGAAAAAGACTACAGAGTGGGAGAGAGAGGGTGAGGGAAAATGTGTTATAAAGGAAGACTTCTGTGTGTGTACACACATACACATACAAACACACACACACATGGACAGACACATTCCTTCTAATATACACTCATGGGAAAAGCTGTTCACTGCTGTTTATTTTTTTTTACCCAACACAATACATTATTTTAACCATGAATTTTAAAAACGATTCTATCTGTACACGAGGTCAACAAAAAGTGCACAAGAACCACATGTTTTGCATTACACTGTAATGCGGTGTCACAATGAGATTCTCTCAACAATATCCTGAGACCAAATAAAAAAAATATGTAATGATAATATTGCATAATAATGAAAGTACAGTTCTTTCAAATGCAATATGTTTTATTTCTGATGAGTATTTTTTACGATTCCCAAAGGTACCTGAATGCCCCTTGTTATGGACACGCCCATGAGTGAGCACTAATAAAAAAAGAAAAAAAATTATTAATAAAAATATATATATGTATATTAATGGCTGTTGGTGGTTGCAAGGTTGTGAAGCTTCTGTAATAGTAATGGACACTTTCTGTGAGAGCACACCGTTTTGCATTTGTATTTCAAGCTAATGGCTTTAGTGAGCGTTGACTGTCGGGACGAAAGCGCTACATTTCCAGGTCCAGTTTTTTCCCCCAGCTGGGGTCAGGCAGTTATGTTTTAGGTGGGCATACTAGTTTGTTGTAATAGCTTTTTTTTTGTTTCCACCACTTTGGAGCAAATTAATCATACTGCTTTGCTGCACACTTGCTGTGTGTGTGTATTCTAGCGGCCCCAATGCACAGACTGAACCCTCTTCTCATCCAGCTTGTTTGGAGGCCAGACAAGAGGACGTCATGGAGTGAATTTTAATTAATCAAGCGATCAATGGTGTTATTGATTGGCCTTCTCACTGCATATAAGAAATGCAACCTAGGACATCCATGCCTGAGCAAGTTGACAGCACGATAAGGCTACTGCCCTGGTACAACACTACTGACCTGTAATCTACACTGACCTGGTGCCCCGTACACCACCTGTGATGTCATTTGGATGAAAACAATACATTGTGGTCGCAAATAATTGTATAAATGGTTTTTGCATTAAAAGAAAATATTTTATTCTGATGTTTATAATACATACAGGTATTTCTTTTATTCTCCTAGAACTGTGCTGTAAACTTAAATTGTTGCCACATTTGTCTGCCTTAGCAGCTAGAAAAGATATTTTTAACATAATAACCCAGTAAACAAGCTTTTGTTAACAACTACAAAATGATGAATGTTAGTGAGGGAGAATAATGCTCGAGGAGTTTGAGCAGGGACCTCTCGAGGTTGTATTTTGGGAAATTGCATGTATTAGAAAAAGATGAGGTTGCAATAGATCCTTTGAGTGCGTCTCTGCCTCTGATTATGACAACATCAAAGATGTCTCATCAAAAAGTCTAATAGAGGACACTTGACCAGGAAGATGGACAACAATAGATGCATTGGACCTTTGCATATGCATAAGCAAGCACTCATGTCTGTTCATTCACCAAAGCAGGAATAAAATGGCCTCGCGTTAGCTGAATAAAAGCCTAAAATTGGGGAAAATTAGTATTCACAATAATACAACTAATGACAGTTTTTTTTTTTGGTTTCATCACCATAATAAAAGCTCTAGTAGCGAGACAGAAGAAAAACATGTCTCATTAGACATTTTTAGGTTTAGTGATTCTGCCACTTGATTAACAAATGATAATTCATACAATTCTGTTGATATTTTCTGTTTTAGAAGAGCACTTCACTGGAAGTGAGTGCATTGGCAAACATGTTAATTCTGCCAATCTGGGTGAAGTGGAGACTTTTCTGAAATAAATTGGACTGTTATGGCCCACTGGTTGCCAGAAGGTATTATGATTTAATTAATCAAAGAAAATTAGGCTTTCACATTGCTGCAAGCCTGAATATCTTAAAAGAGCACACTGGTGTGTGCGTGTTTGGTTCCAAAATAGTTACATGGAGGGCAACTGGACGAAGTAGGTTTTTTGGAGACGTTTCACCTCTCATCCAAGAGGCTTCTTCAGTTCTGACTGACTACAGGATGGGATGAGAGGTGAAACGTCTTCAAAAAAACCTACTTCGTCCAGTTGTCGTCGATGTAACTATTTTTGGATTAAATGACATGGATGACCAAAAACCTACACAGACATGCGTGTATGGTTCTAGTCAAACATTTTCCTGCAGGAGAATATCTAACACTTTAAACAGATGGAATTATCATTATTATTTTGGGTTGAGGTGCAATCACAATTGTGATTCTCATCAGTCATTCCTAACCATGGAGCTGGTTGGGCTGCGAGCGCCACCTAGTGGGCACCAACTTTCAGTTTAGAACTTGTTGGCTATGAGGGCCACTGGAACGCATTGTTAATCAATTGAAGCTGTGCCTTATTTAGCTGCTCACCTGTCACAGGAGCATCAATATCCAGCAGGTTCCTCTCTGAACGCAAGATCGCAGCTCCCTCTCCTATGAGCCTTAGGGCTACTCCTTCCTCAACACGCCCTTCCTTGGTTAAGTGGGCTTTCAGCACATCCACTTTGGGCTTCCCATCGCTGTCAAACACCTCTTTAGCTGTCAACCGGTGACTTGGAGGGAATGGGACAGCTGCCAAAGGTGAAAAGAGAATTACATGGTTAGAGTGAGAAAAGATTTTAGACAATTCGTCATCACAAAATCATCAAAATGAGTTGATCTATCTTACATATTCTGCACCTTGAAGGGGGCCAACCCCAAACGGGAGTCAGTGGTTGCCCCCCCAAAACCCAGCTCCCCCTCTGAAACAATTGACCAAACTGCTGCTACAATCTGTGAGTCATTTAATTTCAAATATGTGTAACAGACCCATGCCCTTTCTGAAAAAAAGCAGGAAACTGACATGTCAATTGTTTTATCAACAGAATGTCTTTTGCATGAGGACAAAGTCTAAACAGTACAATGAGTGCATTATATGGCAGGGTTTAATGTGTAACTAAAACCATAGCTGACACACTTTACATTCTGTGATTTATGCAAAAAAATAAAAAACATATTTACACAAAAAAGAATGTACTGTCTTTCAACTTTATGTATCTTTATTTCAAATTTATATTAACTGATATGGCAGTAAGAATATGAATTGTGACAGTTTCCTGAGTATAATTCTTATTTTATGAAGGGCTAAAATCGATTACCCTCTGATGCAGGCCAACCCATCACACATGCACACACACACACACACACACACACACACACCCACACACATCTACCTAGCCTTGCTATTAGAATATAAAAGTTATTTAAAGGACCATTTCGCCTGATTTTAAGTAGCAAATAAAAGAATGTGCAACATTTTGTTTCCAACCTCTACAAGATCCAACCTAATTACAGCATTGTAATTTATGCAAAGCACTTTTTCTACACCAATAGCCCACTGAGTCTTAGACTGTTTATGAAAGACATCATGAAACACTGAAAGCCTGTTATGTAAGTCTAAGAGCCTGAGCTTGTATCAATATCTAAACAACTGGCTTTAAACAAGGAAAACAAAAAGTGTAAGCTTCAAATTGAGCCATTGTGTATAGAGGATTATAGTGGCCTACGTCTAAGCAGAGGTAACTTCACCAATCACCAAATGAGTTTATAACTTATTGAAAAATAAGGACTAAGAAAGACTTGATTATAGTCCACATTCTGCTCTTTTTCACTGAGCAGCTTTAAAAAGAAAAAAAAAAACAAAACAAAACACTATAACACAAACGCTTAATTATCATTCACCTGCAGACATTATAGCACAGGAGTGGGACTGTGGCACTGAAGCATCAGCAAATGTCATTGAGCTGCTAGCTGAGTAGGTACCCGTGTGTGTGTGTGTGTGCATGTCTGGTACAATCCATCCTTCCCAAATGTGACATCAGTGGTAATTAGAACTGCACTTTATCTGTGTCACACTGTGCATTGTGACACATAGCATCAGGAGTTCCACAGCAGTAGTTAAAGGTCTCCTGCAGGTGTACATTAAAACCACTGAGTTATTGGACTGGCAGAGTTTAATCACTGCAATCAACAAAGTGCAAAAAAGGCCAGGTATACAAAATAAAAGATCTTAATGTTGTACGTGTCCTTTTAAAGCATTACAGTAGAACCTCCACCTACGAACCCATTCCTTGTTGCCTGCTACTTCTACTTCTAAATAATAGAAGGAGCGGTAGTACTTCTAAATAATCAGATAATCAACATGCGCCCTAAGAAAATTATGGAGAAGATATTCATAAATGCACATGTACACATATATACAAACATCCATACAATGACCCTTTCCTATTTGCATATCAACTTTATAATTGATGCATACTTGTATCCAAATAAATACTCTTCCTTCCTGATACAATATAAACCCAGTGTCTCCACACAGGTATCCAGGGCATTTAGAAAACCCGATCTGAGATAGAAGTACCACTGGCCCCAGGTTGGCCTTTTCCAAGAACCTGCTGTGCAACTCCAGTCTGAGGTCAAGACGACTATACTATGTGTTATGTATAGAAATGAACCCTGTGAACTTTGTGTTACATTATATTTATGTAGAAAGGGGGGTTTGGTTCTATATGATAGGAAGATGGAAATGAACCTGATAAAAGATACATCCCATTTGTTTGTTTTGCCAGGAGCTAAAAGGCACCTCTTACTCATTAAGGATGCTCCTAACTGTGGAATTTCAGAAAGACACGACTGCTTTTTTTGGTGGTTGACACATTCATGAGAATCCTCGTTGGAGCACTCAAGCTACTATCACAAAAATATTTCATGACTTTCTCAAACTGCTCAGAAAATTCAAATCAGACAGGGTTTCCAGATGACAGGTAGGCTCATCCACTTGAGATACATCAAGATGATGCAACATAGTGGAAAACTGTGGTAAGTTGACAGAAGATGCCATTTTAATGGTCCAGCCATCACTGCCATGAGTGTAAACCTAGTATTCTCCACATCTGCCCTTCTCAAGTAGTCGAACAGGGTACATTTTAAAATTCAAACACTGAAGAATAACATTATTTCTGAGCAAACTGCGTAAAAGCTGTAGCTGTTGGCATGAGGGCATCCTTGCTTCACACCATTCTCCTATTTTCTACAGCCATGACAATGGAAACACTGTCAACTTTCCCCTTGTGGAATTTTTTAACAGCTCTCTTAATTACAAGACTAACACCCACCTCTGCCAAAACATCACACTGCAAATTGCAATGGTACGTTTTTACACCCTAACCAGAATGTCTTTACAGAAAAAAAACCCAGAAAATCTGAGTCCCTAGTTTGAAAACATGTATTGACAACTCATTTTGTCAAGACTCTCAACACGTTCAATTATTGAAACAAGAAAATAAATGGTTGTGTCAAATATTGAACTAAAATGGGCCACATTTCTCTTAGTCAGTCAGTAATTAGCCATACATAAGGTACTGACTGACTACGAAGTCAAGAGAGAGAAAAAAAAAATCCAAGTCTAAAACCCCCAAAGCTCTCAATCAAAACAACAGCATATGAACATTCCCACACAGAAACAGTTGATTGCAGCAAATAACCCTGTGCATCTTTCATACAGGCCCAGCACAGCTGTGAGAACATAATATGACCTGAGGCAATCTGCATGGAACTCGAGTACGACTCAAAAATGGTCTCTATTAGCCAACCTCTTTTGCCTTCATTAATGTTACCATTTCTCTGTTGCCTTCTGTTATGTAAGCAGGAAACTGCACTGCAGCCTTCAATTTAGTGCTGGAGAGAAGAAAAAAAAAAGACAAGAGAATGTGAGGGTGTCGGAGGGATTGAAAAGGATTGAAAGGGTCTGATTTAACTTCCTCAGAAAAATTCGGTTACACCAGACATGCTGAACGTTTTCAATCACTCTAATCAATTAAAACTCAAATATGGGCCAACGACATTATTATTTTAATATCATTTACCATCAATGATCACTCAGTATTAGGTCTTGAGCTCAGAAAGTTAAATTCCAACAACAACTGCAACTGAAGGGAACTGTTTATGTCGCAGTCATGGATCCAATAATAATGATGGCTTATTAAAGAAAGTGTAGACCACAACGGGCAGTCCCTCTGAATCCACTGAGAAGCAGTGGGAGAACATTCAGCTTATAATGTTCAGGTTGGTGTAGATCGGAGCTAACAGGTTCTCCCTTAGGAATGAGACGGAGGGTGGTGCACACATACGGAGCTGGACAGAGCAGCTTAATTGGAGAATGTCAGAAAGGCTGTTGCAGAGCTCACCTGGCTCTGGCTTTATTTACTGAAGAACACAGAGTGCGATGCTGAGTCTGGCCTGAAACGTCTGCAACTCATGAATATCTTTTGATATTTTGGCTTGTCTATCATTTTCTGAGTTCTACATCTAATAAAATTTAAAAAAGAACACTGCTCCATGCTGCAGTTTTACAGCAGTGATTCCTAAAATGAATGCGCAGAACTGTGGTAGAGCAAGCAAGACAAATCAATTTAATCTCTCATATTGTCATCATCGTCCCAATATAATATATGTACATACATATATATTGATGATGTACAAAAATTTGAATTCTTGGCCAAAACAGAAAACCATAATTGAGGAAACGAAGGCTAAAAAAACAAAAACAGAAACACTGAAGGAAATTATTATGCCAATTTTTATTACCATTGCTTTTATGGCTATGTGAACTAAACCTCAATAAAATCAAGGCACTGCAAATGCATAAATGAATAATTAATTAATAATTGTCAAAATAATTAAATGTCAAATGTCTAGCAGAGAAATAAAATCAACTGATAGTCACATAGGAAGTCAGAACAGAATAGCCCACCTACTCTCCTGCAGGATCTCACAGTACATATCAGACAACGAGGGTGCCTACCTCTCATCTGGCACACTGCGCTACTTCTCCTGCGCTGTGAGCTTCTCCGTCCCCATGCGGAGAAAATCTTAATATCTCAATTATCAGTTTTTTATCAGTTCAGTTTTGAAATAAGTTTAAGCTGAGTTTTCAAGCAACAGCTGTGGATTCATTTAGATCATTTCATACGTGACTTGATAATAAATAAAGGAATTAAATGAAGGAAGTCATTTCAAAGGGAAGTAAAAGAAAATGTAAATTGTCGATATTGACAAGGAAAAGTAATAAATAAAATTAAAGCTGTGCAACGCCACTGTCATTAGATCATTATAATCCGTTTGAAAAAACGTTTGAAAAAAAAAAAAGTAGAAAGAATTTATTAATTTTTAGCCAGTCTTCACTTAACAGTTCACATTTGTGATTCACATTACCTAGTAAGAAACAAATAAGTGGACATTTGCTCACTTGGGACCACCAGCAAGTGGACAATAAAACAAACAAAACTATAAATATACAGCAGAGTGCTCAGCAAAAAAACCAACAACCATGATGAATTCCTACAACTATAGCGCCAGAAACCATTCTGCAATGCACAGCATAGCATATTTCCATCAGATGGTGAATTGATCCTGAGGAAACTGCTGATGGAGAACGATGCAGCTCCATCCGCTGGTGGTCACCAGTGCGCCCCTCCCGCCCACAACACTCTACCCACCGCCACTAGACAGGCCACCACACCCGCAGCTCAGCT